TTTTGAGTTTCATTCTGTTGCTCAGGCTGGAGTGCAGTGCTGCGATCTGGGCGCACTGCAACCTCCGCCTTCCTTGTTAAAGAGATCTGCCTCAGCCTCCCGAGTAGCTGGGACTACAGGCGTGTGCCGCCATGCCTGGCTAATTTTTGTATTTTTAGTAGAGATGGGTTTCACCTTTATTGGCCAGGCTGGTCTCGAACTCCTAACATCCGGTGATCCACCCGCCTCGGCCTCCTAAAGTGCTGGGATTACAGGCGTGAGCCACTGCGCCCGGCCATCTGATTTGTTTTTTAACCAGTCTCTTGAAGTTGTTTAAATGGGACAGAAAGTAAATGACAGACTAAAGCCTTGAACTGTTACTATATTAGGAAGCTTTATGATGAATCTACTTTGTAAACAGCAAACAACTGGGTACTCACCAGAGCTACTGGTGCTGGTACAGGTGAAGAAAGTAAAGGAAACTTCAGATGTGGTAGAAAGGGCCCAGGAAATGTAGTTAGCATTAAGTTATGTAGCTAGCTAGGGTCACTGACTCTAGCCTTATTTGGATGATGCACAGATCCATCTCCCAGATCATGGAACTAAAGTTAGGAACTTCCTGCTGCTTCTCTAGAGGCAGAACTGAGCTCCTTTTCTGAGGAGTGATGTCTGTGGGGAGGAAGCTAATGGAGAATAGCGGTTGCTAGAAATTACTGCTTGGTGTGTAGGCTTTTATATTTGTTCCAGTGTTTGTTTGTTGTTGAGGCAGGGTCTTGCTCTGTCACCTAGGCTGGAGTACAGTGGTGTGATCTTGGCTCACTGCAGCCTCTGCCTCCTGGGTTCAAGCGATTCTCATGCCTCAGACTCCCCAGTAGCTGGGAGTACAGGCGCCCACCACCATGCCCGGCTAATTTTTGTATTTTTAGTAGAGACAAAGTTTTGCTGTGTTGGCCAGGCTGGTCTTGAACTCCTGGCCTCAAGCACTCTGCCTGTCTCAGCTTCCCAAAGTGCTGGATTACTGTGGTGAGCCACTGCGCAGGCCTACTGTTTTTAAGGACAGTTGCAACTGAAACTTTTTTTGAGACAGAGTCTTGCTGTTGCCAGACTGCAGTGCGGTGGTGCAGTGTCAGCTCCCTGCAACCACCGCCTCCCTGGTTCAAGCAATTCTCCTGCCTCAGCCTCCCAAGTAGCTGGGATTAAAGGCACCCACCACCACACCCAGCTAATTTTTTGCATTTTTAGTAGAGATGGGGTTTCACTATGTTGACCAGGCTGGCATCTGGAGGTTTTTAAAAAGCCAGTTCATAGCTATTTGTTTCTAAGTGGTATTGGCCCCAAAGGAAAGAATTTCTTCATGAAGGTAGTGTGGAGCCCTATGCAAACTCTGCCTGAGACCAAGGGTACGATGATCATTTCATTACTAAATTATGATCCTGAATTTGACAAACCTTTTTCAACGTACAAAAGATGTATGAGCTCCACTGAGTGGATGACTATGATTTCCTTTTCATCACCTTTCCCATTGTTAGTTTTGTTTGAAGACACTTCAGAATATTTAACTCTGCTCCTTTGCTGGCAGTTTATTGAATGCCTGCAGAGAAGAGAAAAAGACTAGGTGAGGTGGCTTATGCCTGTAATCCCAACGCTTTGGGAGGCTGAGGTGGGTGGATCACCTGACGTCAGGAGTTCGAGATCAGCCTGGCCAATATGGTGAAACCCCATCTCTACTAAAAATATAAAAATTAGCTGGGCGTAGTGGCACGCACCTGTAGTCCAAGCTACCTGGGAGGCTGAAGCAGAAGAATCGCTTGAACCCAGGAGGCGGAGGTTGCAGTGAGCCGAGATTGTGCCACTGCACTCCAGCCTGGGCAACAGAGTGAGACTCTATCTCCAAAAANAAAAAAAAAAAAAAAAAAAAAGAGAGAGAAGAGAAGAAAAAATTTAAGGAGATTAATTGTTCACAGCGAATAAATAGGTCTGCTCTTTTTGGTCTCAGCCATTTGACTACTATCTGGAATTTTATATATGGGTTGTTATGGACTTGGAATTTCCTACTTTTCAGTTCAGGACCCTTTGGAGGTGGTGGCTGCATCAGATAAAAATCAGATTGTCAGCAAGAATACCATTTAAGATGGTACTGAAATCACAAAACCCTGGGTTTGCTCAACATTGTGTAGCCCACTTTTGTCATGGACCATGCAGCTTCCTCTCTGCATGCAATGTTTGTCTGTGGAGAGACCTTCTGGTATATTGGAGAGGATTGAAAAAGCTGTTTGCTTTGCTAATTTCATAGTGCAAATTAGTTCCCCTTCTTTTGAAATGTTAGCCTTGTGTTTGCAAAACATAAAATAGAAGGAAACTCATTACACATTCTTCTAATGGTAAGGCAGAACTAATAAGAGAATGTGTTTAAAATTAATTGTGGGACTGTAAAAATGAGTGGGTGTGTGAATGGGTATGGGGGGAGGAGAGGGAGGGCTTAGAGATATTAGAGAGAGTCTTGTTTTCCCAGGGGCCAGTCTGGATCATTTGTTGGCAGTACATATTGGCTGAAGTCAGTTTTCATTTCAAGGTAAATTGGAAAGGGAAATTAAACCTTATTGTTCTGCTCTTAAGAGAGAAGGGGGTGGAGGCGGCAGCCAGGGTGGATGCTATTGGAATAGTTCTAGAAGTAACAAGATTAGTGTTGTATTTTAACAGAAGGTGACATCATGAGCCCCACTGGACTTGAGTAACCCTGTGCTGCAGCCTTCATGGTCCCCTTGTCGGAGTGGGTGATTTTGCTATACATGTAAACTGCCACATTGGGGGAAATCAGGGGCTGAGGCTTTAATGAATCTTTACAAAGGAGCAGAACGCATCCTGAGTCAACCTGTGCAGCTGTGGGGTGCTTGGGCAGAGGTACAAACCGGATGGCATGTCAGGAGAGGAAATAATTAGAACAATTGGCTCGGGTTCCAGAGTACGGATTGGATAAGGGGAAGGTCCCAACTGGGCAACCCACTCAGGTGCTTCTTGGAGTGCTTTAGCTCTGATTCACCTGTGGGGAGGTGACTGGTTGGTAGTGAGAGTGAGAAATGCAGGAGCATTGGTGTTTGTGAGGACTTGGTTGTCTCTAAACAGCCGGGAGGGGGCGCTGTTAGGCTCGATTTCAAAGCTGTGATCTGAGTTCACCAGACCCTGTTGTGCCTGCAATCTTCAAGACAAAAGTTTTACATCAGAACCGGCCTGTTCTGGCTGCGTGTAACAAACTTCTGTAGACTCCAACACGCTTTGGGGAGAGTGCGTGAGGGCCTGGTCTGAGAAGGGAGGCAAATCCCCCGGGGCTTTTTAGCTTGGCACTGAGCTAATGGGGATTTTTGTTTGTTTCCTCTTAAGTTTTACAAGAACAAAAAGTGTTGCCTGAGTTTCCCCAAGGGGGTCTATTAAAAACTTTCAGGGTTTTCCCTGGTAAAGAATGATAAGAACAGAGGCCTACTAACCTTGATCCTCTGTCCTCTATCCCTCATCAGATGTTTTCTTCAAATGGGCTTTTGGTGTAGGATGTCGGAGAACCAAGAACAGGAGGTAAGAGTGTGGTCTTCAGAGAACAGGTAGGTAAAAGTTGGAGAGAGGATTTAGGAGGAAGGAGGATGCAGAGATCCAAATCATTACTCAGTAGTGTTCTTCCTGCAGTATTACTTTGGTGGTTCTGATGAGCTCAAAATAAAGTCAGGAGAAAGAAATCAATAGCAGAGCCATTCCTAGGAAATGGGGTTCCATTCTGACTAAATTTTCCATTGATTGTAATATACTGGAATGTAAGCTTCATGGGGGCAAGGACTTATGCCTCTTGTTCATGCTTTATCCCCAATGCCTACAACAGTGTCTGACACGTAGTGGGACTCAGTAAAAATCTGTTGAATGGAATGACTGAATGAATGAATGAAAGTTGGTGCTGGGTGGAAAAATCTAGCAACCTGTGTTATCAGAGCTGCCTTGCTGTGTAGCTGAAGCTGAAGGAGCTTTTCTTACCTACAGGAGGTGATTACAGTGCGTGTTCAGGACCCCCGAGTGCAGAATGAGGGCTCCTGGAACTCTTATGTGGATTATAAGATATTCCTTCATGTGAGTGCATCAAGCTTCTATATTAGGGTCTGTGCTCTGCAGGGCTGAGGGGCTGTACTGAGGTGAAACCTATTTTTTTTTTTTTTTTTTTTTGCAGAGTCTTGCTTTGTTGCCAGGCGCCAGGCTGGAGTGCAGTAGTGCGATCTAGGCTCATTGCAACCTCCGCCTCCCGTGTTCAAGGAATTCTCCCGGGTAACTGGGACTACAGGCCCATGCCACCATGCCCAGCTAATTTTTTTGTATTTTTAGTAGAGACAGGGTTTCACCATGTTGGCCAGGATGGTCTTGATCTCTTGACCTCGTGATCTGCTGACCTTGGCCTCCCAAAGTGCTGGGATTACAGGCTTGAGCCACCGTGCCTGGCCCAATTTTTATATTTTTAATAGAGGTGGGGTTTCACCATCTTGGCCAGGCTGGTCTTGAACTTCTGACCTCATGATCCACCCAACTCGGCCTCTCTAAGTGCTGAGATTACAGGTCGTGAGCCACCATGCCCGGCCCCTATTTTATTTTATTTTTTTGAGACAGAGTTTCGCTCTTGTTGCCCAGGCTGGAGTGCAATGGTGTGATCTCGGCTCACTGCAAACTCTGCCTCCCAGGTGCAAGTGATTCTGCTGCCTCAGCCTCCCAAGCAGCTGGGATTACGGGCATGTGCCACCACGACCACCTATTAGTAAAGACAGGGCTTCATCATGTTGGCCAGGCTGGTCTCGAACTCCTGATGTCAGGTGATCCACCTGCCTCGGCCTCCCAAAGTGCTGGGATTACAGGTGTGAGCCACCGCGCCCAGCGACGTGTAACCTATTTTTGAGTGTTTCTGGTGGACCCAAGGCAGAAGAAAAGGCAGAGAGGAAAGGAAAGAGAGCTTGAGGTATGTCTTTGAGTTGCTTTCAGGCTGCCTGGTGGCACCTTGTTCTAGTTGGGGACCTGATCAGGTCTGTGGCCTGATGGCATGGCTCCTCAGTGAAAGCAATGATAGGGAGGCTCGTGTGAACTTGTCTTCTTCCACTAAACCCTTTTCATGTACCTCCTCATGTACAGACCAACAGCAAAGCCTTTACTGCCAAGACTTCCTGTGTGCGGCGCCGCTACCGTGAATTCGTGTGGCTGAGAAAGCAGCTACAGAGAAATGCTGGTTTGGTGTGAGTTTGCTCTTGCTTCCTTCTCGGGTCTGTGACTGGCTTTTTGAGTGCTTATGTAGGAACTGGAATTGACAGTGAAGAGAACTTGCAACATACTAGGCACTGAGGAAATTGAGAAATATGTTGTTTCTTTTTTTTTTTTTTTTTTTTTTTTTATGGTCTTGCTCTGTTGCCCAGGTTGGAGTGCAGTGGCATGATCATGGCTCACTGCAGCCTTGACTTCCTGGGTTCTAGCAGTCCTCCTACCTCAGCTTCCTGAGTGGCTGGGCCTACAGGTGCATGCCACCATACTTGCCTAATTTGTGAAATATTTTTGTAGAGCTGGGGTCTCCTTATGTTACTAGGCTGGTCTTGAACTCCTGGGCTCAAGCAATTTTGCCTTGGCTTTCCAAATTGCTGAGATTACAGGCATGAGCCACCATGATTGGCTGGGAAATAATTTTTTTTTTTTTTTTTTTTGAGATGGAATCTTGCTCTGTCTCCCAGGCTGAAGTGCAATAGCTTGATCTCAGCTCATTGCAGCCTCTGCCTCCCAGGTTCAAGCAATTCTCCCTGCCTCAGCCTCACCTCCTAAGTAGCTGAGATTACAGGAACCTACCACTACATGCGTCTAATTTTTGTATTTTTAGTAGAGATGGGGTTTCACTATGTTGGTCAGGCTGGTCTTTAACTCCTGACCTCAGGTGATCTGCCTGCCTCAGCCTCCCAAAGTGCTGGGATACAGGCGTGAGCCACCACGCTCGGCTTTTTTTTGAGGTGGAGTCTTGCTCTTGTCATGCAGGGTGGAGTGCAGTGGCTCTATCTGGGCTCACTGCAATCTCCACCTCCGGGTTCAAGCGATTCTCCTTCCTTAGCCTCCCAAGTAAGTGGGATTACAGGCATGTGCCACCACACCGGGGAGATTTTTTTTTTTTGAGACAAAGTGTCTCACTGTGGCACTATCTCAGCTCACTGCAACCTCTGCCTCCTGGGTTCAAGTGATTCTCCTGCCTTAGCCTCCCAAGTAGCAGGGATTACAGGTGCCCGCCACCAGGCCCTGTTAATTTTTTTTTTCTTTTTTTTTTTTTTTAGTAGAGGTGGGGTTTCACAATGTTGGCCAGGCTGGTCTCAAACTCCTGACCTCGTGATCCACCCGCCTTGGCCTCCCAAAGTGCTGGGATTACAGGCATGAGCCACTGTGCCCAGCCTTTTTTTTTTTTTTTTTTTGAGATGGAGTTTCACTCTTGTTGCCCCGGCTGGAGTGCAATGGCCCAATCTCGGGTCACCGTCATCTCTGCCTCCTGGATTCAAGTGATTCTCCTGCCTCCCAAGTAGCTGGGATTACAGGCATGTACCAACACGCCCAGCTAATTTTTTTTTTTTTTTTTTTTTTTGAGACGGAGTTTCGCTCTTGTTACCCAGGCTGGAGCGCAATGGCGCGATCTCAGCTGACTGCGATCTCAGCTGACCGCAACCTCTGCCTCTTGGGTTCAGGCAATTCTGCCTCAGCCTCCTGAGTAGCTGGGATTACAGGCACGCGCCACCATGCCCAGCTAATTTTTTGTATTTTTAGTAGAGATGGGGTTTCACCATGTTGGCCTGGATGGTCTCGATCTCTTGGCCTCGTGATCCACCCGCCTCGGCCTCCCAAAGTGCTGGGATTACAGGCGTGAGCCACCGCGCCCAGCTAATTTTGTATTTTTAGTAGAGAAGGGGTTTCTATATGTTGGTCAGGCTAGTCTGGAACTCCCGACCTTGGTGATCTGCCTGCCTTAGCCTCCCAAAGTGCTGGGATTACAGGTGTGAGCCACCGTACTTGACCTAATTTTTGTGTTTTTGGTAGAGATGGGGTTTCACCATTTTGGCCAGGCTGGTCTTGAACTTTTGACCTCAGGTGATCCACCCACCTCAGCCTCCCAAAGTGCTGGGATTACAGGCATGAGCCACCATGACAAGCCTGTTTTTTTTTCTTTTTTTGAAGTAGAGATGATTTCGCCATGTTGCTCAGGCTGGTGTTGAACTCCTTCCAGAAGTGCTAGGATTATAGGCATGAACCAAGCCACCCAGCCAGGAGTGGGTTTTATGAACAACATAGTGTGGCTGGGCTTGGTGGCTCACACATGTAAATCCAGTGCTTTGGGAGGTTAAGAAAGAAAGTTCACTGAGGCCAGGGGATTAAGACCAGCCTGGGCAACAAAGCAATACTCTCGTCTCCACAGATACATAAGTAAATAAATAAGTAAATAAATTAGGTGGGCACAGTGGCACGCGCCTGTAGTCATAGCTATTCAGGAGGCTGATGCAGGAGGATTACTTGAGACCAGGAACTTGAGGCTTCAGTAAACTAGCTCACGATTATGCCACTGCACTGCAGCCTGGGTGACCTGGAGAGAGCAGCTTAGAAAGCAATACTTTGTCTCTAAAATCAAAGAAACAGACAAAATAATGTATCAGCATGGGCTTTATAGTCATAGACCTGGTTCCGATATGAGCTTTGCTGCGTACTAGCTGTATAACAGTGGAAAATTTACTTAACTTCTCTGATCTAAAGTGAGTTTACTAATATCTTTCTCATGGGGCTTTGGGATGACTAAATGAAATAATGTTTATAAAACATTTAGCATAGTCTGGCTTGACATTTGGCATTCAGTCAGTCAATGTTAACACAACCCTTTATTAAAAGCTAATTGTATTGACTAGGCCTCTTTTCAGGGTATTTCCTTGATCTGAGGCTAGAATGACTATCTTAGATGTTACACTTATCATGGGTGTTATATCATGTGGCTCCACAGGCCTGTACCTGAACTTCCTGGGAAGTCAACCTTCTTTGGCACCTCAGATGAGTTTATTGAGAAGCGACGACAAGGTCTACAGCACTTCCTTGAAAAGTGAGTGGACTTAACAGGCTGGCACTGGCCCCTGAGTGTGGAGGCAAGGGTGGGTGGAGGAAGGCACCAGGCAGGATGGAACTCCCTGCTCAAGTAGCCAGAAGCCCTTCAGAGGACGGAGAATGGAGAGCAGTTCCTCAGGGTGATGCTCTGTGTCGTGCTACCTGTGTTTTCCCCAGGGTCCTGCAGAGTGTGGTTCTCTTGTCAGACAGTCAGTTGCACCTCTTCCTGCAAAGCCAGCTCTCGGTGCCTGAGATAGAAGCCTGTGTCCAGGGCCGAAGCACCATGACTGTGTCTGATGCCATTCTTCGATATGCTATGTCAAACTGTGGCTGGGCCCAGGAAGAAAGGCAGAGCTCTTCTCACCTGGCTAAAGGAGACCAGCCTAAGAGGTAAATGGAGTACTCTTTGAGATAGCAGGGGCTAGGTTTGCTAGAACCTGGACCAGAGAGGTGTCCATTTGTTAGGGAAAGTAATGTTATGGCATTGATAGCCTTTCGCAGAGATCTTGTTCTTTGGGTGCATGGCTATCTATCCAGTGGGTCTATGTTAATCCACCACTGGGTAGCAGGGGCTCCTTCTGAAACCTGGGAAGAAAGAAGGGAAAGCTTTCTCATTTATTCAGTTTTTTATTCCTTGAAAATGGAGGCTCACTCTTTCTCCCAGGCTGAAGTGCAATGGCACCATCTCAGCTCACTGCAACCTCCGCCTTCCAGGTTCAAGCAATTCTCCTGCCTCAGCCTCCCAAGTAGCTGGGATTATAGTCGCCTGCCATCATGCCTGGCTGTTTTTGTATTTTTAGTAGAAACGGGGTTTCGCCATGTTGGCCAGGCTGGTCTTGAACTCCTGACCTCAGGTGATCTACCCGCCTCAGCCTCCCAAAGTGCTGGGATTACAGGTGTGAACCACTGTGCCCGGCCACTTTTTTTTTTTAATTGAGACAGGGTTTCACCATGTTGCCCAGGCTGGTCTCCACCTCCCAGGCTCAAACAATTCACCATACCCAGCCATTTTTTTTTTTTAATTGGGCAGCCTTCTGAGCCAGAATAGGCTCAGAGAGACCTCCTTCCCATTCATTTTTGTTTATATGTTCATACTCTTTTTTTTTTTTTCTGAGACAGAGTCTCACTCTGTCGCACAGGCTGAAGTGCAGTGGTATAGTCATAACTCACTGCAGCCTTGACCTCCCAGGCTCAAGCAGTCCTCCTGCCTCAGCCTCCGGAGTCGCTGGGATTACAGGCATATGCCACCATGCCTGGCTAATTTATTTTTATTTTTTGTAGAGACAGGGTCTCCCTATGTTACCCAAGCTGTTCATACCCTTCTTTTCCGTTTTCCACTCTTTTCCAGTTGCTGCTTTCTTCCAAGATCTGGTAGGAGGAACTCTCCCTCACCGCCTGCCAGTGAAGAAAAAGACCATTTAGAAGTGTGGGCTCCAGTTGTTGACTCTGAGGTTCCTTCATTGGAAAGTCCCACTCTCCCACCCCTCTCCTCGCCATTATGCTGTGATTTTGGAAGACCCAATGAGGGAACCTCCACTCCTCAGTCTGTGAGGAGGGCCCTGGGAGGAGACCATGCTGTGCCTTTGGATCCTGGTCAGTTAGAAACAGTTTTGGAAAAGTGAGCTCTGGGTTCTGCTCTGAGATGGTCAGAGAAGATGCGGGCCAGGAGACTTACTCAGGTGGGATTGGGCACAGGGCAGGTATTGTGGGAGGCTGTGTTGCTTAGTGTCTTCTAGTCTCCTCTGCTTGGGCTGAGTGACAGGTCAGTCATAACAGCCCCTTATGCCTCTTCCATGGGAATAAATACTGTGCAGATGTTTGTAAGTTAAGCATAAGGCCCAGGGGCTGTTTATTTTGAACAGAACCCATATTTACTCTCCTGGGAGGTGAGTTTCTACAGGTCATTTGTATGTAGGACCGGGAGTACTTCCTCAAGTGGCTGGTTTTGGGGACCTGTATGTGGCAGATTCTAAGCTGCCATATTGAACATTGTCCCAACAGGAGTGATTACGTTGTGTCCCCATCTTGACTGGCTTCAGTTTTTGCTGTAGCCCTAGAGCACTTTGTTTCTGGAAGGCTGGCCTCTTGCCTACCTCCTTGCATGGATGGGGGGGATGAATATTTACTTTCCACCTTGCTTTTTCTTCCACCGGTACCACTGAATGGAACTGGTGCTGTGACTCCTGCTGCAGGGGTTTTATGTCCTGAGACCTTAATCTGGCTGAGTGGAGCCTGAGACCTGCACAACAGCTCATGGTCATGCATGAGAGAGAAGTGGCTGGCCACAGCCAGAGGGAACAGCAACAGCTCAGGGGCCTGGTTATAAAGGGGAGAGATGGCTATCTTTTCTGCAGGGTTAGAGTGGGCTCCTTTCTTTTCTGAGTCCTTTTCTTCTTTGGTAACAGTTCCCTGCCTCCAGGGCTTCAGCCGCTAGCGTCCCTCTGCTGTGCTGCAGGGAGGCCATATGTTCATCCAGTGGGGCGCAAGGGCTTTGTTTCTGCCTGGAAGAGAGGGCTCGGGGGATGAGGAAGAACACGCTCTCCTTCAGACAATGAGGCATTCTGTCCTGCTGCCATTCCTTATCTCCACCGAGAGCCAGAGCTGGTAGGAGCAGAGTGCCATGGGCATTCTGCATTGCTCTACTCTTAGGTTTGTTTGTGTGATTCTTCCCCTCCCTCTCGCCCACTCCTCCCTCCTCTGGCCATCCTACCCTGTCTGTGGGCTCTTTTACTACCAGCCTATGCTGTGGGACTGTCATGGCATTTAGTTCAGAGTTGAGGGACTTTGGCCTGAAATAAAATGCAAGTATTTAAGATTGTTGTTGCAATTTGTGTCTAACAAGCTGTAGCAGAGAAGGAGGGAGTGAGGGCTGGCAGTAGTTCCTTTCATAAATCATGAATTTATCAGCATGGAAATAATGGTTCAGAACTGTGCTCTGCAGCTCTCCTGCATTGTGTGTGCAGCTCAAGTTCACCACTGGAGGAAGGATTGCCTTCCAAAGAGCTGGGATCCAACTCTTCTCACAGTTCTGGGCATGAACCTTGTTAGGTATAATTTACCTGATGCTGCTTCCATCCTCGCAGCCTGTCTGAGGTGCCAGGTGCTGAAAGAGAAATAAAGTTTGTCAACAGGCAGATGCAAAGCCCTGGCTGGTATTCATCCCTCTTTCCTGCCCGCCTCCCCTGGGTCTCTCCTTTATATGATGTAGCAGAGCAAGGCGAGGATAGAAAACCTACAGAGGCAAATCCAAAATGTCAGAAGTTCATTTAAAAGGGGAAAAAAACTCCACGCGCAACCCTCACAAAAACCCGACAGATGCTAACCTAATGGCATCCTCTCTGCCGATTGGTGGGGATGGCTCATGAATATTAATGAGTCCAATGCTCCAAATGGTGCAGCTGTGAACCCAGCTGTGCCTGAAGCTCTCTGATCTCGAAACTTCCAGACAGGAGCCGGAGGTGGTCTGTCAATTCCCTACTCAGCCAAAAAACAGCAAGTTGGGTTGGCCTTCTTCTGTTCGCACCTTTTCTTTCTGGAGTTGGTGCTCAGCAGCTAGTTCTGCCAGCAGGCTCGGCTGCTGGGACAGCAGGAGCCATTCAAAGACATGGATGTGATTTTTCCGACTCCCAGTTTTTTAATGATCCATTGGCAGCGTGCCTACAACAGCACCTCAGTTAATCTAAGGCCAGGCACCATCTCCTTTCAGTCTCTTTCTGAGTTAAGTGTAGGCCTTGGAAGGAGAAGCCCTAAGAAAGAAAGCACTTTTCTAATAATACAGGCCTGGGGTCATCAGAAAAATTGTGCATATGAGTTTTCCCCTCCATCCAGATAGTGCCATAGGGCCCTCTTCTGTTTTGCTCTGTCCCTGCGTGGCTGGATGACCTCTATGAAAGATGGGGGATTAGATGGGGGGGAGTGGCTCATTGAGCTGTTTGTAAAATAAAAATATTTTGTTTAGAATTCAGTTTTGAGTCAAGTTCTGTTCTGATTTAGTCACCTTTTTTCTGTCAGATACCTCCGTAGCCCACATCTAGTCATCCATTACCCAGGAAGACTGATTCCAAGCTTATGGGGGCCGTTTTGTTTGGTGGGAGGAAATGTATTTGTGTGTGGGGGTGGGTTTTCTTATATTAAAATGCTAAGTTATATAAGCATAATTATATTGGCCCTTCTCAGTGCCTAGTGAGGAAGGTAGGGCAGGTATATGTGCCTTTTTTCATTGAGGAAACAGAGCTCAGTGAGTGTTTATGTGTGTGCCTTAATTGAGGCAGGGTCGCCCTTTGCTGACCAGGGAGCAATCTCAGCTCACTGCAACCTCCGCCTCCCAGCATCAATCAATTCATCTGCTTCAGCCTCCTGAGTAGCTGGGATTACAGGGGCCTGCCACCATAGCTGGCTAATTTTTTAATTTGTATTTTTATTTTAATTAATTAATTAATTTTTGAGATGGAATTTGGCTCTGTTGCCAGACTGGAGTGCAGTAGTGCAATCTCGGCGGCAAACTCCACCTCCCTGGTTCAAGCGATTCTCCTGCCTCAGCCTCCTGAGTAGCTGGGACTACTGGCGCATGCTTCCACACCCAGGTAATTTTTGTATTTTTAGTAGAGACGGGGTTTCACCATGTTGGCCAGGATGGTCTCTAACTCCTGACCTCAGATGATCCACTCACCTTGGCCTCCCAAAGGGATAGGATTATAGGCATGAGCCACCACACCTGGCCTTTTTAACCTGATCACGACTTTTTAACAATCTGATTGGGCATTAAGTTAGTTCCATGTATGTGAATTTGTTTATATGCCTCAGCTCTTGCAGAATATGCTTAATACCCTAGGGGTGGGGTAGACAGTAGGCCTGAAGAATTTGATGTGAGGAGGGGTTGGGGGTAGAAAGGGGAATAGATCAGTTTCCAGCCTGCCTCACAGAGGCTGCAGGAGCATTAAATCAGAGGCTAGAGTGGCATCTGTGGATTTATGTATGAGCAGCCAGCTGAGATGTAGCTAAAACCAAACATAACCACGGCAGCACGACGTAGCACTTCCTTAGTGGAGCACTGGGCAGTGATCTGAAGCTGGAGGGACTGCCCTCTCAGTAGGGACTCAGTTCTGTAGAAGACTCAGACAGAGACTGGCTCAAAGTACCTTTCTTTGAACTATGGATGAGTGCTCCCTCTCCTGTTCTTACCCACTATACTTTTTTTTTTTTTCTTTTTTTGAGATGTAGTTTTTTTTTGAGATGGAGTCTTATTCTCACCCAGGCTGGAGTGCAGTGGCACAATCTCGGCTCACTACAACTTCTGCCTCCCAGGTTTAAGTGATTCTCCTGCCTCAGCCTCCTAAGTAACAGATTACAGGCATGTGCCACCATGCCTGGCTAATTTTTGTATTTTTAGTAGAGATGGGGTTTTACCATGTTGGCCAGGCTGGTCTCAAACTCCTGACCTCAAGTGATCCGCCTGCCTCGGCCTCCCAAAGTACTGGGATTACAAGCCTGAGCCACTGCCCCCAGCCCCATTTCTTATTTCTCATCTACTTCCTGCCTCAGCTCTTCTAAACTGTTTTGGGGATCCCCCCTTCCTACAAAGACCAAGTATGCATTTGGCTTACCAATAGGATGGTGAAAGCCAGTTCTGGCTTCTTATTAGGAATACAGCTTTTTAAATTTTATTTATTTTTGAGATGTAGTCTTGCTCTGTTGCCCAGGCTGAAGTGCAGTGGTGTAATCTTGGCTTGGCTCACTGCAGCCTCCACCTCTTGGGTTCAAGTGATTCTTCTGCCTCAGCCTCTGAAATAGCTGGTATTACAGGAGCCCGCCACCATGCCCAGCTAAGTTTTGTATTTTTAGTAGAGACAACATTTCAACATGTTGGCCAGGCTGATCTTGAACTTCTGATCTCAGGTGATATGCCTGCCTTGGCCTCCCAAAGTCCTGGGATTATAGGTGTGAGCCACTGCATCCAGTTTTTATTAGAGATATGGCTTCTTAGGGGGGAAAAACACTGCAGACCTCAAATCTCGAGATATAAACACAGACAACTTATGCTCAAAGATTAACAAGAACTATACTTCCTGGGAGACAGAGTGCTCCTGACTCAATGAACAAAGTGAATAATTCTCTTTTGTTCAGGGGAGATCTGGTCTATTTTCACAAGCAAAGGAGAAGGAAAAGAAGCAAAGGAGTACTTTCTTGGTAGTCAAAGGGCCACAGATAATAAACAGAGGTGATAAAGCTAGGGTGTGAGAATTAGGAGACTACTGGAAAGTCTCTAAGGTTTTTTCCCCTGGAAGGACAGGAACGCAAGATGCTTCTGGAATCTCTGGATTATGGGAAGCCACCAGCCAAAATTTCTTTTCATGCATGGCTGTCAAGTCTCTCCTTCCCATCCTTCAGCGAAGCACTTTTTCTTTGGTACCGTCAGTTCAGAAAGGACCAGCCTGTTCAAATCTCGTAAGTGCTCTAGCCCTGTGTGTGCCCTTTCCCTGGTGGCTGTGTTGGTGTGGAAAGCCCAGCCCACCAGCAGCCTGACCCGAATCCTTCCAGCAGAAGGCCCAGAACAGTGAAAGCCTGAGGCGGTTTGTTGGAGGCAATGCAGCCTGCCTGCTATAAGCTGTGAGACTTAGATATATTCTACCAATTAGGGCACATCTGTTCAAAATGCTGAAAGGCGGGCACTGTCTCTTTAAGAGCCATCCCACTCCTCTCCTTGAGTAATGAGGACTGAGAGCACAAGGGAGTCAGATGCTGATTAAACAGTCCTACTGCTGAGCTCTGTTAGAAAATTACTGTAATTATGATCTAGTCCCAGCAGAGGGATGAGTTCCAATCCTGCTAATAACCCTTCCAGGTGCCTCTGATTCAGGGCCCATGGGAGGTAGCGTCAACAGGGCTCTGGCTGGCACCAGGGCCAGCGATGGTCCTCCTGTCTGGCCTATGCTGGCAGAGACAACAATGGCACTGGACCTCACTTCTATTTTGGCCTCTGAGAAGGCAGTGGTTTTGGTTGCATTTTTGTTTTATTTTTTGGTTCTGGACAGAGCTCCTGGGAGTCATTTTGTATGAGAAAACTTTCCCCTAAATGAACACAAAGGATCAGGAAAATCACAGCCAAGAGATAGCAATCTGTCCTGAATCTCCCCACTTCTGCCTGAGGACTGTAGTCAACACACGCAAAGCATGTTACCCGGCCCCAGCCCCCACTGAGGAGGGAACCAGAGCTGAACCCTTTCAGCTGCGGCTACCTTCTGCATGGTGTTTCTAGGAGCCTGTGTTTCTTGATCTGAAGTACACAGCATTTCACTTGGTCCTAATTGAGAGTTTCAGCACTCCTCTTTTAGATTTCTGTCGCAGAAAAGGGAAACAAGGGATAGTAACCACAGGGCTTGAGACATGAGAGAGACACTGTAATGCAGCTCTGAACTGGTGAGTATGGCCTTACTCATTCCAACACATCATAGTGCAAATCTGCAGCAGCACAGGTGAGCAGATCTTAAAGGCAGAGCAAAGGGTTTTTAAGCCCTGGAGGATTTGTGGCATTTAAATGCTGTATCTTCTTAACCCAGCTGTAATCTCTGTTACTATAATCCAGCGGCTCAAGCACAAACTTCTAGAAGGCAGGACGGTTTCTCTGTGGTTTGCACTAAGCACACCCCAAATGCCCTCAGACAGCGATTCTCAACCAGGGGAGATTTTGCCCCCAGGGGATATTAGACAGTGCCTAGAAATATTTTCGGTGGTCAGAGCTCAGGGATAGGGGAGGGGGAGGCCACTGGCATTTAGTGGGTAGAGGCCAGGGATGCGACTGAACATCTTATAATGCCCCCAACAACATAGAATTATCTGGCCTATAATGTGAATAATGCTGAAGTTGAGAAGCCTTGCACTAACAGAATGAAGTAATCGGCTCCTAGTTCTGGTCCCCTAACCGTGGAGATGTTGAATAAATGAGCTTAAATCTGCAGATGCTGTGTGCTTGTCCAGAGGTGGAATATGTTCATGACAGGTCCATGGGATTGGTGGTGTGCGTATGCTACCTTGGTGACTCACAGCACAGCAATGCTGGCAAGTCTGATGGTGTGGAAAAGGGAAATGTCTGTAGCCTGTTTCCTGTTCCATGATGGGATGTGGAGGATAAAAGCTGACCAGCTGCTCACCATCAGGCTGAGAGTGTCTACAGTGGAACCAGATGCCCTCTTTGAGGACTAGCACTAGAAGCTTCTTGGAATACTTCTGTCACAGGAGGCAAGGAAGTGGCATACTATTGCCCAGTGCCACAAAAATGCTTCCTTCAGTGGCACTCTGCCAGGTGGAGGGATGGCAGACTGTGATGGGACCCCACGAGGGAACTGAATGCACACAGCTGCTGATAGCCGGCCAGCTCCACAAGCGGCTTGATGCCAAAGACACCCCTCAGAATGCCTGGGCATCAGGAAAAGAAAGCCCTGTTGGCAGCGTCTTCCTAGAAACCAGGCCTGCAGGGGAGAGGACTTCATTAGAAGGGACACTGCCAAGCCTCATACCAGGAAAGCCAGGTCATCTTTCTCTACTCTCTACTCCCCAGGTGACTGGGCACCTCATTTTGCCTTATTTTTAGCATGACCACACTTCTCAGCTTATACCTGCGGTCTTGGCATCATCATTAACTTGCCTTTCACTCTCATAAATGTCCTCCTTTGGAGAATAAATGATATGATCACTGTTAATTGTACTTCAGTTTCCTCTGACACGGTAATATTTTTGGGGGCCATTATATTTGTAAAAGATTTTTGTGCAGCATGGGCTAAATCTTAAAATATATCATTAATTGAATCCCAAAGAATGGTCATCAATTCACACAGAGGAGAAAAACAGCATGTTTTCTGAACAGTTAGTTTTTTATAGGGAAAAAGGGAGACTAATTCAAATCCCTTGAAAAAGAATCTTTTAAGTTATAAATTTCAAAGTCCCTACCCAATCTCGGTAAGTTCTAGTGGGAAATGAAATAGTTGGGCAGTAGGGAAGGGAAGAAGCAAAGGGACTATGATAATCCACAAACTAGAAAATAAGCTGGATTCACTGGGCTGTGTCGCAGAGATAATCCTCTGTGTAGAGGTCTGCTTTTTCTAAACTCAGCCCTGCAGATTTTGCTGGTGCTCTGGGAGTTAACAAATCAATGTCACTTGAGATTTATCCTTCCCGAGCCACTCCCGGTGGGAGACCTGAGGGGAGGTCTTTTCTTTTCTTTTCTTTTTTTGCCAAAGATGAAAGCACCACTGTCCCTGACATCTGAGAATTTTGTTCTTAAGAT